AGAAGTCCAAGCGCGAGACAGAGCTACGCAAGATTGATCAGGCGGAAGAAGAACGGAAGAAGCAAGACGGAACTCCTGGCCCAGGAACAGGAACACCTGTCAAGCAAACTGAACCCGAACCGGAGGAATCCGAAAAACCGGTCGATTGGAAACCCCAAAGTGGCCCTATTATGCGAATCGTTAACGGCGAGATCGTGCTAGATAATACGTCCTTGCAGGTCGATCGTCATGCCGATGCCGCCCGAGCCGCCGGTGACCTCGAAGATGTGGTGGAAAGTTCATTCACTCGGAAAATAAATCAGGCCTCGTACGGCAAGCGTACAAAGACCGAAACATGGGACGAAGAGATGACAGATTTGTTTTATCGCGGGCTCCGCATCTTCGGTACAGACTTCATGGTTATCAGCAAAATGTTCCCGGGCCGGTCTCGTCGTCAGATCAAGTTGAAGTTTAACAATGAAGAGCGCCGTGATCCGCAACGAATCAAGGAAACCCTGATGGGCCCGACTGAGGCCATGGACATTGCAACCTATTCAGAGATGACAAACACCGTCTACGATGATCCAAAGCTTGTCCAGCAAGAGCTCGACGATGAAAAGAAGCGCATCGAGGACCAGCACGCTAAGGAGAAGCAGATGCAAGAGGACATCCTGCGAAACCCAACTGGTGGTGATTCCAAGGATGACAAGAACGACAAGACCGCTGTGAAGAAGTCGCGCAAGAAGGCGGGCCCGAAGAACCAAGGAGGCGGAACAGAGGAGGTTCTGGGATCGATTGATGACTTTCCCATGGCTTAAGTCGGGGATTCTAATGGAAATCTTATGAAGCGAACATTATAGGTTACGGCGTTTTAAGTTGGGATTATCGGGTACACATTGATCCAGCCAGGATTTCCAGGCTATTATTTGCTAATGGATTTGTTACTTTGTTTCATTTCTCCCATTGTACATGTGTACATGTACTAGTTTCATAATAGCCATAAGAAGTTACAGCCGCGAGTTTGCGACCTGTTGCTTCCGTATTTTTTTCTCGGAGTGTCTTCTGGTATCTCTTTCCCCTCAGAGTCGATAGCAAATGACAGACCAAGTAAATTAGGTATGAGATCACCTACGCCTGGTCGACCCGAACCCAGTACTAGCAGTCGTAGACGAAAACTGCGGCGACGAGCGCGAGCGGGAACTGCCTTCACCTGGGTCATATCGGTCAGACCTGCCCATTGGCATTCCGCCTCGCGATCCACTACCAGCCCATCTCCCCATCTGATAACCCGCCGCACCACCACCAAGCGCACCAGTCCAGAAACCGGGCGTCCATCCCTGCTGACGACCAGCAGATTTGTAAGGATCGAAACTACTGTACGGAGGCGGAGGATCATTTCCACCTCCTCCACCACCTCCTCCCCAGAACCCGCCCCACCCCGGCGCCGGCCCCGCACGCCTACCTCGCCGGTTCCCCCAGCCGAAACATTGCGCCAACAGAGGCCAGAAGATCAGAATAAAGACAGCAGCAATGAACCCGAGGAATATTAAATCCCCGATCACGGCCATGATCTTCTGGACACCACCCCCGGACCGGTTCCCAGCCCAGTCCCACTCCGAATCACCACCTTTCTTCCCAAACCTCTTCTCCCCAGCCTCGGTCAGGAGTAGTCGGTACTCCACCCCACAACTCCCCTTCAACACCCACTTATCATCGGCATTCCGGTATCCCTCGCATATGACATCTGTTGCGCCGAGCTTGAATTCTACCGGTAGGTCTGCAGTGCATGTCCACTGCACGTCTTCGATGTCGTAGTCGTAGCCTTGGTTTGTGCAGCGCATTACTTCTGGTTGGTAGAGGTTGCATATTTGTTTTGATGGGCCTGCGCAGCTGAGTTGGGGAATTGGTGAGACGCGCCGTGCGCTTGTCATGTGGTGGGCGCGTAGTGTTAGGGTTTGAACGTTTGATAGTAGGATGGCGTCTTTGCCTGGTGGTTTTGAGCTTGAGATGCATGTTGCTGATGAGATAAGGAGTAGGGCTGTGAGTGCCAGTTTGTTGAAAGTGTGCATGGCTGGATGGTTGAGAGCTGGACAGCTCTCTGACAGCTCTCTGGCTTGTGGTGTATGGTCTGTGGTCTGCAGTGCGTATTGGTTGAGGTCGATCTGGAGTTGTGGTTAGTTGTAAGGTTGATATGGCTAGTTTCGATTGTAAGTGATTAGGCTTCAATGCTGTGAGTCAACAGGTGGCGATTACATTAAGGGTTTCGTGTCCTTTAAACTTGCTTGGACAGAGTGGAGAACAACCGCCATGGAATACCTTAAGTCTACATAGCTATGTTTGCTCTGTTTGCATGATACATCAAGCCCCAGGAATATAAAGCTACCTCTACCATGCAAATCCGTATCTCGCATGATTTCTCGGCGGTTTGAACATGAATTTAGTAATGGTCCTGCCTTATCACTTTATATTGTGGACGCCTGGGTTCCAATGCACCGACATCTCGTTTGGTAGTTCGATGGTTTGTATGGAAGCTCGCTCTCTCCCTCTTCCCAATACAACTCTCTTCTCTCTGCTTCTAAAGTCCCTACACCGTGGAGCCCCACAGGTTATGACCCCTCGCTTTTTTGGAGCTATCATCTACAATTAGCAGTTTGCAATTATCTTCATTTTTCACCTACCCCGTGCAGAGAGAGTCGCGGGATAGGACTCATAGGAGTGCAGGTCAACAACCGGAGGAGAAGAAGACTAGGAGAGACTGTGTATATTACATGATCCAAGCAGAAGTTACATTGCATGGTGTTAAATACAGAGACACGATGAATATTCAAAGTCTGAAAGATCCTAGAGTAATTGGAATATAAGTGCCCTAAGTGCCTGATTGACGAGGTTGAGAATTTTGGCAGAACATAACTACAACAGTCTGCTCCACTCATTTTCACTAGTGCACAATCAACTAGCGTAGTATTCAAGAGTTAGTTAGTTATAGTATTCTTACAAATGAATACTACGTAGTTATATTAATTTTTTCAAAACAGGGCTCTTTGCACTCCTGAGTCCTAACTCTCAATTTCTTACTGTCTTACGTATCTTACTATCTTACTATCTTACTATATAGTAGGTCCCCTATTGGCAGTAATCACTGCCTGGCACCTTAATAGCATACTATCAATCAGATCAGATAGGAATTCCTCCGGTATAGTATCCTAGGCCTCCGAAACCATACCACGAAGCTTCAATAAAGGGAAGTGCTGATCCCTATACTCCCTATACTTTCTCTCAATATAATCCTTTGGTTATCTAGTTCTATACCTCCTTGACAGGGTTTAAGATAGGCTATTGTTGGGTGCCTGGATGGATGCCTGAATGCCTAAGGCATCTGAACCCACATGATGACAGATCCATAGCTATAGATACTCTTTCTCTCTTTCTCCTCTCTGTCCAACTCAATCCATCAAGAATCTATCAACTTAGTTTCTTCATCAATATTCCATCATATAGATTCTACATTAGCTATTCTATTATAATAACCCTAAGCTCCTTAAATAAATCTAGAGTCTCTCAATCCCGAGTTGGTCGACAAGCTTCGACGAGTTGTGACCCTGGGGATCGCCATGGATTCCAACAATGCGACCAACGAGCTAAACACAGCCAAGAAGTCCAGAAGAATGTGCCCTTTATCATGCCAGCTAGACATGGAGATCCATATACGATATGGCAGGATACTTCTGCAGGCAACATTTATCCTCACCTTATGCCCGGCTCGACTAGTCCAATCTGACCTAGTTCCATCAAACCGTTACAATTACTAGTAGGTCCTACTGACAAAAAGTTAGAGGAAAGCCTCAAAGACTTTCTCGATGATGTGAACAAGCCCTTTGACCCGAAAACTCCTGCGGATGATAAACATTCATTAACTAATAAAGATATCATTAGTTATATTTATCATTAAATATATATGATCTTACTCTCTTCCTAGACGGACGAAACCTTCTATCATGAGACGTATAATATAGGATTTACTATATAGGTATGGGGACTTCTAAAGTGAATTGAATCTGAAGTGAATCTGAAGTGAATCTGAATCTGAATTGAATTTGAAGAAAATTGGCTGGCCGCTAGTTCAGGGGTGCTTTTTTTTGCCGCGCGGGCTCGGGCTCTGCGGTAGTCATCACGTGGCCCAAGCAAACCCTCCCACCGCCCATTGTGATTCGATAGCGATAACGATCGGATCGATAACAGGGTCGGATCGATAATGAGGGAGGAAAATGGAGGCTGGAGGGAATTGCCGCGCGGAAGAGACCGCCTTACGACTTACCGCCCTTATCGGGTGGGATAGTCCTTCCTCCCCACTTTAATTCGTATTCATTAGGAAATCAAGCACCATCCATTATTTCATCGTTTTCCATCAGATTAATTGTGTTTTCCGTCGAATTCATCTCACTCCAGGGATCTCCATAGTTGTCGAGGGGCGTCCCCGGTCTGGAGAACGCACCAGTAGATATCTGTTGGAAGGGTGAAGCCTGCGAGTGGTGCGGGTCAGATCCCTGTCTGACAGATTTCTTTGGTGGTTCCAGAGGGGGGTCTCTGACGCTGACAGGGAAGGTCCTTTTTATCGACAAATAACCAACAGCGTGACAAAAGTGGATGGCCGAAGAGTCATCATCAATTCCATCGAGTCCATCGAAATCATTGGATTCGAGAGCTGTCTGGCGGCTAGCAACCGAACACGGGGCACGATCAGATAGTGCCCACCTCGCCGACAACGATCATCTGGAAGTAGCCCGGCGGGTACTTCAGGGAACGATCATCACGGATACGCCTTCCCTCCCGGGATCGAGTGCTGAGTCATCACCCAAGGAACGGGAGATAACAGGGTCGAGTCGATAACGAAATGACGTTGTCGAGTTTCGAGAGGTCGAGAAACCACGTGGGGACTCAGTCTCCAGGGTGTCTGGCGTCAGGTAGCCTATCAGGGCTTGAACAGTGTTGTTGCTGCAAATCTATGCAATGTGGCAATTGCGATGATCAAGGACACGGAATCCCAGATTTTCGTTGATTTCCCTGGCCACGACTCTTTTGATGTCGTCATGCAGACACTCACGCGTGGAGATCCCGAAAAGTCTCAAGGCATGTTCCATATGCAAGCTGCGCGACAAAACCCGGATGGAACATGTAATATGTCAGCGCAACGTGACATCGATATGAGAGAAGAGTTCCTACTGAACACCAATCAGGACCTATTCGACTTTGTCACCGACTATCAGGCGACACGCAGCGGTAAGCCTACCAAGGCTATGCTCAAAAGCATCCAGAATTGGGATCCCAAGTTGGATCTTCAAAGAGCAACCAAAGAGCAACGCTTGAAGTGGCGCCGAGCATACACCATCAACTGTCACCTTAGGTGCACCCACTGTTATGAGCCAAGTCTTTATGGTTGAAAGTGCATTAAACTAGAAAAGCAAAGATGGGGAGAAGAGAAAGAGAAGTGCAGAGAGAGATCCAGAGGGGTTGATATAGTAGCTGGATCTCTGCAGGCAAACAATGCAAACAACCTCGCCTTCCACCGTTCCACCGCGCGTTCTTTCATCACATGCCATTCTTCATCCTCGAACTAGCTATAATCCAAATACAAGTACTACTATATAATCTCAGATATCAACATGATTAAATGGTTCAGACACTTCATATGTGAGCTATAACATATGCTGAAGGGGGTTAATTAACGTTAGTTAAGTGCTTAGCATTGTCTATTGGCCTAGTATAGTATATAACTACCATTAATTGCAGTGACAATTGGAGGTCCTGTGCCAGGAGGTTCCGTGGCCGAGTGCCCAATTATATCTGAGCATTACGCTCAGATTGTCATAACATGACATTCTTAGACGGAAGAAATCTTCTATCATGAACGTATAATATAGGATTTACTAACTATATAGGTATGGGGACTTCTAAAGTGAGTTGAATTGAATCTGAAGTGAATTTGAGGAAAATTGTCAGATCTCTTGGCCGCTACATATATAGTTTAGGGGTGGTTGGATCTTTATAGAGAAGACTGTTACAACGTGCCACTAGACTAGTGAGTTACAGACAACCTGGGCATTACGCTCAGGTTGTCCAGGCTCCGATATATATATTGCATGACATGACAAAGACTGTTCTACACAACATCACTCCAAGACCTCAAGCCAGCCAGCTGGACTATGCAGTAGATCGGCTTGAGCACGATCAAGCTAAGGCGGCCTGGCGCCAGCTCTTGTATGAGCGGATTGACCAAGACCAGGAATCAGTGGACCGTGAGGGGGAAATGCATGCAAACTGTCTGTGTTGATGGTTCGCACCTCCAAATGTTGATCTGTTGATCGCAACTGTCCGCCTAGTCCAAAACGTCGGGAAAGGAAGAAAAAGAAAAAAAAAACGCCTAAAGATAAGGACACCCGAGGTCCGCGGAATACGCGATCATGATTGAGAAAATGAAGGCTCGCCAGAGAGGCGAGGTCGCGCACTAAGGAGTTGCACAAGAGGCGGCTGTGGAATAGGGAGCATTCGACCCGGAGAGGAGCGGGAAAGGGAACCGAAGAAGGCCATCCTTGGGGAACATAAAGTTACGCCTACAATTTCTTTTTCTCAAACTCCGCCTCTATTTCCGAATTCTCATCTCTCTCTATTCTTTTTATTTTCCGAATCCCCATCGCTCTCTATTTGTTGGGTGCCTGGGTGCCTGTGTGCCTCAGGCACCCATGGACCCACTATGAGACAGATCCACCCATGTAGATAGTTCTCTCTCTCTCCTCTTCTTCTTCCTTTCTCCTCCGTCCAATCATTAGATTCTGTTGAACTCTCAGGCATGCATGCATGTTGTTTGCTACAGACTGAGCCTTTTGTTTGCTATTTGCTATTTGTGAGCAATGTTCAGATGGTTTGCAGGGTATATAAACCCCTACATGATTAGTTTTATCAATTAACAATTCTTCTTCCACTTTTTCCCCATTCTCGTAATCTAAATCCATACATTGTTCATCAGATTCCACAATACTATTCTTTTCATCAAGTTTCGCTCTTCGGCGTTCTCGTCAAATTTGTTCGTTAGAATGTCTAGTCTCGCATGCTCTGAACTTTACCTTTACATTGGTACTGAAGTTACCTTCAACACACCATCATCCCAAACGTGGGTTCTCGAGGAGAAGCTCACCGAGGGTGTTTAATAAATGACAACGTGGCAACTTGATGGTAGCGCGGGGCCTCCCTTTGCCGTGCTCAAATATCTCTGCCATAGTGCGGTAGATAGCAATAAGAAGGCGATTATGCGAATCTATTTGTAGATTCCTATTGAAGGAAATGAGTATCAACGCCCTGAGGTTCGACAACGAAAGGCCGCTCCTCCACGAAAGCATGGAGAGCTAGACGTCCTAAAGGATCTAAAGCTACGAAAATGTCCCGTGGTCCCGAGTCTCCTCGCTTATAAAGAAGGAAAACAAGGCAATGATGGCCTAGTCGTAGATGGATACATTACACATATTGTATGGGATAAGGTTCCGGGGAAGGAACTGAACCAGGATATGGTCTGGAATCGTACGTCAGGTCCACTACGTGAGGCCGTCCGCGCAAAGTTTCGCGATGTCTGGGGGTATGTTATAAACTCCTCTTTTACTAGTCGAGAGTAAAGCTAACAGACCGACCTAAGGGAGCTGAGGCGATATGGATGGCAGCCAGCCGTGCCTGGACTGGAGAATATCATCTACGACGAGGTTACGGAGACGATGTATGTGATATCTTCTATACGCCTAGTGACGAACAGAATAGGCTGACTATCTTTAGGCACATTATAGGCTTCCGAGACCCCGCCCTATTCGAGCCCGAAGAGAAAGACCAGAGAGAGTTTTTCTAGTTGAAATATCTTTCCATTGTTTTTCTACAGAGAATGACGCATCCACCCCGGGATGTCGTGCTCAGTCACCTCGAATTCTTCACCGGAGCATAGTACACGGGCATCCAGATATCTCTCACGTCTGGACTCGGACCCATGCGTCAGCTCGAGGTACTGCAGAAGGCAAAAGCATCGGTGAAGGGGAATCATTGGAGGTTCACCGAATCGTAGAGTTGGCCGAAGAAGTGGATGGGGCGGGACTTCATCTTCCTCCAGAACGTGGTCTGGGATCCAAAAGCGAGGCGGCATGTTGTGAATTGCTACAAGGTATCGGGCTCTGTTTTCCTCCACATTGTTGATTTCGTACTGTGTGATATTGTACTGCAGAACCGCCAGCACGCATACCATCCAGCATTGCTGGATGTACTCATTGGTGAGATCAACTCGTCTGTTGAATTGCAGTGCTTGGCCAATCTCAATAGTACTTGGAAATACGAGGCTCTGGCCGGGGAGAATAGATAAGAGTCGCATCGCCTCCAGGCACGGCCACATGATGATGAACCGCTGGAGGTCGATTATACTGTCAAAGCCGAGATAGGCTGCTACGGTTCGTTCGGCTTGCTTTGCGTGGCAATGATGGATGTTAGCGAGGTCTGAGATTCCATCAAAGATAACAGTTACTTACCAGGCTTGAGTCGACATCAGACATTTCACTTTGAGTATGAGGGAAAGGTAGTAGGAGATAAGAAGGGGGTGAGAGGGATTGGCTGAGAGATGTTTCTGCAGATGGTAAAAGTGAGAGTAAGAAATAGATGAGGTTGAATAGAGAGAGGCAAGCGAAAGGAAACCCTGAAGAGAAGAATGTGTTAATATATATACTAGGAATTGTTGGGTGCCTGGATGCCTCAGGCACCAATGGACCCACTATGAGACAGATCTACATAGCAGATAGTTTTCCCTTTCTCTCTTCTTCCTCCTTTCTCCTCCGTCCATCTCAATAATTCTGAATCTATCATATTGTTTCTCATACAATCTCATTAGATTCTACAATAGGAATCTACACTTAGTTGAAGAAAAGTGTAGATTCAGCGAGTGAATGATAGACAATGGGGGAGGAGAGAGTGTTGGGTGCCTGGGTGCCTGAGGCCCAGGGCCCCACTTGGGACAGATCCTCTTTGTGCAGTAGATAGTCTCTCTCTCTCCTTCTCTCCTTCTCCTCTCCGTCCAACCGCAAGCAGTGAATTCTACAGTGTTGTTTCTCCAATCTCAACTACGTAGATTCTCTATTAGAGAGAGAAAGTGGTGGAGAGCAAACTATGATCTACCCGAGTTGGGATCACTGTGCGGACACAGTGGTCCCAATATATATATATATATATATATATACCATGTGGCTAATGGCAGGCTTGGTTGAAGTATGCTAAGATATAAGGCGGATATTATATAAATTGATTCCTTTGGATCATAAATCAGCTACGATCCTAAGGAATATGTATATCAGGTAAGAAAACTACATGCCTGAGGCAACCTAATAGCTCCATCCAAAATCTACGCCACGTCAAGCTAAGTGTTGAACAATCTCCCATTCTTGCATGCATGTTTGCTACGGACTGAGCCTTTTGCCTGTTATTTGCTATTTGTTAGTTTTTTTGCTACAATTGAGCAATGTTTAGATGGTTTTAGCAGGACATGCACTAGGGATTTTTGCCATAAGACACGGAGAATCGAATGAGAATCTAGTTTTCCACTTTTAGATTTCTCACCTGGAATCAAGAAGGGAAAATATAATCAATTTGTTACTACTTGAATGTAATTGTGCCTAGCGAGTTCGATACATTGATATTCGAAATCAGTTTTAACTCTAAACTCTCTCTTGTTAGTTCCCGGCGCCCCACCTCAAGCGCACTAGACCATTATAGGATACATTTCCGCCCTTCCCACACTTGCCGAAGTCTCTTCGATAAGTTACCGTAAATTACAGTAATCAGATCCCTCAACAATTTGTGTCTCTAGATCCCGGATCTTGAGAGTTGTACCTTTACTGCTGATTACAAAACATCGCTTGGACGGAGCGAAGAGATCCCGTAGGTAGAGAATTTGGCACTAAAGAGAGCCCTCTTACAAGCCGGATCCTTGTTATCCGGGTGTAAGGCTATATTACCATACGTCGAAGGCATCGCCGCATCGCCACATTTGTCAGCAAACAACGCCAAGACATAATCTGGAATCGTGTTCGTGTGGGTCGAATGATGACTAAAAACGAATAGAAACACTGTTGTAACCGCTGTTCTCGACCTCGCAATTTCTTGGTATAGTATATTGCGATATATGCAATCCTTCCCATTGCTCATCCGTTCTCTCGGTCTGCGTGCTATTACTAGCCACCTATCCCACTCCCGAGTTGTATATGCAGCCTTTTCCCTTTCATTTTATTTACAGAAACTGCCCCTATCCTTGCCCACCGTTAGCTTCATCGTCTGTTGTCATTTGGAATCCCCGACCACCATAGGTCGTCATGTCTGCCGCTATGATCAACACTTAGCGACTAATTAACGAGAAAGACGTTGGCTAGTCTTGCCGTACTAATGCGCGTTTACTGTCTTCTACAAAGAGAAATAGCTAACCATATGAAACAAAATAGTTATCTTCTCTAAATCATATTGCCCCTACTGCAAAGCTAGCAAACTCTTGCTAGACCAAGTCGGAGCACAATTTCACACCGTGGAACTTGATAAGCAAGGTATGTCAACACTTTTTCTGCCCCCTTATCAATATACGAAACATACGTGGATTTCTGCTAAATGCCGATTTAAAGCCGACGGAAGTGATATCCAAGTCGCGCTTGAGGAACTCACCGGTCAGCGCACTGTTCCCAATATATTCATCGGACAGAAACACATTGGGGGTAACCTAACAGCCACCATGGCATAGACACGCTCATACCAAGCCACTACACTAGGATACTTCGCCCTCAGTTCTGCATCAATGACAACGGCAAACCCCCAGATGAGGTAAGATACCACAGTAACGTCAGCCAGGCTCAATCGGTCCTCGGTAGCAACCCACTCCCGTCCCTGTAGATGGTGCTCAAGAGTTGTAAGGGTTCGCTCGAGACGCTCAAAGGCCGTCCCCTCGACTTTGGTATCATACTGGGCAACGCCGAATCGCCAAAGCACCAACGGCGTTACTTGAGTGATAATCTCGGTGGTGGCGAAGTTAATCCATTGTTGGATGACGGCACGTTCCTGCGGAGTCTCGCCGACAAGCTGGGCAGCTAAGGGTCCGCTTTCGGCAACATAGCGCGCAATGGCGTCGGAATCGAATATGATGGTACCGTCTTTCCTTTCGAATGCTGGGACTTTGCCATGGGGGAATTTTGCCAAGAACGCGGGTGTCTTGGCTTACATCTATACCTATCACTTTATTCAGCAAACACGATCTATGTTCTATGCCCCGGCTAATAAATCCAGTATCGTACCGAAGGGCTCCCTCCGCGGGAAAGATCAGCATAACAAGGCAGTTCTGGTAGTCTTGGTGATGTCCTGGGTAATCTTAATGATTAGAAGCAGATTTTAATGATTAGAATGGATAGTGAACGTAGCTACGCAATACGCACCCTAGCAGCATGTTATCTGGGATAGTCGATGTGTTTTCATCCCAAATCACAACCTGTGATGCCGGGGTTTGTCTACGAAAAACCACTACGATTGAGGATGTAATATAGTAGAGTTGTTTCAGGTCTAATTTTAATTCCCTAGTGACATTGTTCGACAGGATTCAACGTCTTATATCCACGGATCATGACTGATAGATGCGGCTATTCGTGGTGCACAACAACCCTCACATCACCACAAGGGGTCCTTAGGGGCCGCAGCAGAAAGAGCAGGCTCCAAGTCAGGGTCTCCTCTCTTCATGGCGCGCTTATAGGCATCACGCTGTCCAATTCGCTCAAGATAGCGCACAATACTGGGATACTGTTCCAGGCTGAATGGGATGAACATGCGGAGCGTGGTCAGCGAAAAGACCGAAATGCAATCTGCTGCGGTGAATTCATCACCCGCCAGGAAGGGAAACTTTCCGAGCTGGGCCTCCATTGCCTGAAAGTTGCTCTGCAGTCTGGTTGGTACGACCTTGTGACCAAAGTCGCCGTCCGTATCGCTGCGCAAACGATCGAACATCATGGCAATCAGGCCAGGCTGCATAGTCCCGTTGGCCCGATGAAGCCAAAAGACGTAGTCCGCGTATTGTGGGTGTTCCACTGGGAGAACGAGCTGTCCATTGGCATACTTGGCCAAGATATACTCGAAAATAGCATTGGTCTCACCCAGTGTCACCTTGCCATCTTGGATGATCGGTGATGTTCCAGACCAGTGAAGGTTACGGTACTCGTCCGGCGCTTGCAGCGTTGCGGGTTGCCGGTCATAGCACTTGAGATTGTACGGAATCCCCAGCTCTTCGCAGAGCCAGATGATTCTCTCCGATTGAGACAGCCGAAGGTGGTGGATGGTTAGGTCACACGACATGGTGAAAGAGAGATTTGAGTCTCAGTAGAATCGAAACAGATGATCTTACGAAGCACAGATTAGGTAGATAGAGACGACAAGGTGCAGATAACTGCTAATTAAACGTAAATACTCGACCGCGTCAGGTGACGTAGCCACCAATGTGTAATGTTGTTCATATAAGGTTTCCGATTTTGCTAATGCACAATTTTAGGTGCATAGCGGATGATGACGGCCCGAGGATCAGATTCTAGACGGATCTGATTAGCAAGCCAAGATTGTTCGGGACGACTGCGCCACATGCTCCACCTGCTCCTAGCGTCCGCCTAATTACTGCTCCTACGGCTACACCCAAGCCAAGATATGTACGTGTACGTGACTCAAGCCAAGCGGTGACCCTCAGAACTGTTACAACCTGCCCCTGGACTGGCGAGTTACAAACTAGGCCACAAGACCGCTATATCTGAGCATTATGCTCAGATAGACCAGGCTCCGATATATATAGTGCATGACATGACAGGTGCTGACAGTTGTATTGGCCTTGGGTTCCAGACTTACTATTCTTAATCAAGACCTTTTCATGTGGAACTAAATACTAAGTTACTTAGGCATAAAGCGGGTCAAGCTTTTTGGTGGGTGATAGTCATGGAAGAAGTATCAGATGAAATTAAAACATGTAGTTATTGGAATGGATGGAAAGAGCTCTATATACTGAAACTCGAGAAAGAATGAAAGGAGTGTAAAGGCCGAAAGGCCTCAAGAATGAAAGGAAAGGGTCAAAAGAACGGCATCTAATGCACTAGGTGCACATAGACAATAGTTCTTCAAATGATACACCAGTGTTGAGTCTTCAATATATTTTTATCAACTGTAAATTTTGATTCTTGTACGACAATTTGACTTGCCTAGTCCAAGTCAACATTCCTTTTGTACCCGCCTAGGTTGAATGTTTGTTTTTTGTACAATATAGAAAAAGAACCCGCTGGTCTATGGAAAATGTGAAATGAACGAGACTAAAAAATGCACATTATATTTCTTCGCATGTACCAAATATGCAAGATGACAATGTCAACATTCTATGCAGAACATCACGTTCCGTCGAAACGAAACGCTGCTTTCGCTGAATTTGAAAGGAGAATGCTTTTTAGGCACTTCCCTTGGTCTTGCTCCCCTTGGGGACACGTGCCCACCAATAGATTCCAAGGGCAGCCACAATGTTGAATACCAAGTAAGCCCACATGATTCCAAAGTTTCTCCAGGCCTCGCTGTAGTGAGAGTCAACCTGGGCAAGGAAGGTATCGGTAGACGACATAGCACAATACGAACACGAGCTCGTTGCGTTGGGGTTCTGGATGTATCCACCAGTCCGTTCAGCATAAGCTGTAAGGTACTCGTAGCAGGTTTGAGAACCCGGAGGGTTGAAGGTGAGGATTTCATCGGTGCTGCAGATGACATCCGTGCCACTGACGGCGGTGGACAACATTCCTGATACCAGATAGGTGAATGGAGAAACGCGATACATGAAAATCCAGAATCCGGGCATGTCATCTGGGGTGGCGACGACACTAGAAACGAACAAGTCAGTACAAGGAAAACCAAGAAATAGGGATTGGGAAGACGTACCCGCAGAACAGAAGCAGAAGGGCGAAGAGCAAATTAGCTATGTTACCTCCCGTTTCCGCAGTCTCCACACCGGCAATGACCATATTCGTGAAGGTAGATGTGAACCAGAGGAAAACCAACAAGAATAGGAACATAAGCGCACCACGCTCATGCACGGCATCAGTCGGTTGCGCGTTCGCGTACAGGCCGACCGGATAGTACCAGCAGAAGAACATTAACACGGCAACCAGGAAGTTCCAAGGCAACTCAACGATAATATTCGAGGCCATAAACACCTTCCACGAGTACATCTTGGATGGGCGTTCGCGGACTTCGAAGATGGATCGTTGGATAATGAAGTTGGGCATAATCTGTTGAACAAGGTTTCCAAAGATGGTCATGAGCATGAAGATACTGAACATCTGGTTCTGCAGTCCCTGCTGGGTATTTTTTGCGTGGAAGAAAGAAAATCCGTTGTAAAGAGCCGTGAGAATTGAGAGAACAAGCTTAGACCAGATGTAGGACGGGGTACGATAGTATTGGGAGAAGACCCGTGATAGACACTGTACAAGCTGATCTTTGGTCGAAGACGCAAACTCACGATGTTTGGTATCGGCGTTGTCTTCTGGTTGTTTCTGAGAAAGAGTTGATTTCAACTCAGCCAAGTGACCAAGGACAGCCTGCTTTTCAGCACTGTTGTTCCAAGTCTCAGGCCAATCAATATCGCTGTGGGATCCAGGAGCAGCTCCAATCACATCAAGCATCCATTCTGCCGGATTTTCGCCTTCACTAAGAGCATGGCCACCATTGCGCATAAAATAGTCTGCCAAGATCGAAGAGTTTTCCCCAATGTTGCCGAAGTAGACAGTGCGTCCTCCCTTAGCGAGGAACAATAGCCGGTCAAATCGTTGGAAAAGCATGGCAGAAGGTTGATGAATCGTGCACAAAATAGCCTGGCCGTGATTGGTCAAGGTTTCAATTAAATCGAGAATGGACCAAGAGGTTTGACTGTCCAAACCAGACGTAGGCTCATCAAGGAAAAGCAATAGCTGGGGCTTGGCAACCAGTTCCACGGCAATAGTCAAGCGCTTACGCTGCTCAACATTCAATCCTAAAAATTGTCAGGAACTGCTAAAGCCAATGGAGGATAATCCCTTATTGTATATAATAACGTACCTACGCCCGGAACACCAACAACTGCATCAGCGTATGTTTGCATACCAAGCAGCTCCAGAACCTCGTCAACGTAGTCGAGCTTTTCTTTCCGGCTGAAATGGGCTGGTTGTCTGAGCAAAGCACTGAAATTCAAGGCCTCGCGCACCGTGGAAGTAGGCAAATGGACATCTTGCTGTTGTACGTAACCAGTCTTGCGCTGGAATGAGTCGTCTCGGGTACGGCCATCGACCAGGACATCGCCAGTCACAACACCCATAGTCACGCGAGTTGCAAGAACGTCAAGCAGTGTAGTCTTTCCTGCACCAGAAACACCCTAGTGAATGTTTAGCGAGATACCACACTATGCGAGGATAATGTCTTACCATCAATGCCGTCGCGGTACCGGGCTTAACCCATCCGTTCACATGATCAAGGATACGACGCTCCTCGGCTTTGATCTTGATGTCGTAGCAAAGGTCTTGCCACTGGAAAATGGCAGTCTGTCTTTGAATATTAGCTCCAGAACCCTCACCCTTCTCTTCCGCCCGGTAGGTTGCGTCTGCGGTGGTCTCAGAATCAGGCGCCTGGGCCTTCGGCTGACGGCCCCGACGGAAAAGAAGAACTTCACCCTTGGAGGCTGCTTCGGTAATATATTCAGTTGCGATGAGGTAAACGAACATAAAAAAGATCATGAACGCGATAACAATACCAAGATTACGCCAGAGATTGTCGTTGGTATAAGCATACGCAGTCTCAATGTAGGCATCTCCGTTAACGTAGCGTTCTCCCGCTTGTGATGAGACAGTGCTGCAGATAGTATTGATGATATCCACGTTTTCGTATCCCTCTCCAGAAGGAACAAATGCCGAACATTCAAACTCTCTGTTGCGGAACTCATTAACCATCATGCTTTCAAATGCATACGCAATTGGATCAATGTAATTCATCCAACGAGACCATCCCAGCATGTCTTTCGTGGGAATGATGAAACCAGTGTAGATCACAAGACCGAGAATGAGTAGAGCCGCAGGAACCAGAGCTTGAGACAGAGATCGTGATGCGGCACCAAATGTTCGGAAGACCATTGACATGGTCAATGTTGTCATGATGGAAAAGAGCCAAAAGATAAAGAAGGCGCCTGGCTCACGTTTCAGGTTGGCCATGAAGTAAAGCGGAAGATTGAATGACACGGCATTTGCGAGCTTATACGGTAGATCACACAGCATAGATGCAACAGCTTCCGTGAAAGGATGGTAGAAGGCATATCGAGATTGCTTTTCCACAATTGGTCGTTGAGCATAAAGAGTCAAGATCTATTATGATAATTGTTAGATCCCTATCACGAATGCGCTTGAGATAATCGGGTGCCTTACCTCCAGCGCACTGGCGAATGCAGCGAGCAAAACGGCATAGAAAAGCAGAACTTCTCGCGAGTAGAAACTTGAGGTATCGGCTGCAAGGTTGTAGAACACACTACCAAGGATGAGAGAGAGGAAGAAGTTGCCAAAGAGAGCGGAGTAGAACAAGCTCATATCAGCCTTGAGACGCTGGAAACCACGGACTAGGTTGAGTTGAATCTGCCCGTAAATCGAAAGCGTGTAGGGAGATTTGATACGCCTAGGGGATGATAATTAGCACTGCCAAAACACGCATAGAATGCTGGTGGCTTGGCTTACTGTTGATTTGACTGCATCTGGCGACGAGCTTCACTAAAAGTAGTGAAGGACTCACCACCGATGGGGTATTCCTTGTCAAAGCTGTCAATCTCCTGCAGAAGACGGGCACACTCCGGACTATTCTGCCAGCGCTGGGCAAACTCCTGCGGTGTCCGAGGCACTCTTGTTTCGTATCCTGGCTTTACTCTGCGCTCAGCCGCACTAGTAAGAGAGGTGAGGAAGTCGGCGGTGGTCTGACGCGACGGACAGTCAAAACCCATAGTGGTAAAGAAATCACGAGCCTCGCCAGTCGGGCCGAAGTAGATTTGTTGGCCTTCGTATAGAAGAACGACCTTATCAAAGACCTATCAGAATCGATGAAGGTTAGTGGAGAGCATATCAGGTAACATCGACAATTCCAACTTACGTCGTAGGCACTCTGCGAAGCCTGGTAGATCGCCACACAGGCCGTGGTGCCTGCGTAATCGCTCATCAAGCGAAGGTTCTTACAGAATTCCAATGCGTTGGCACTATCAAGACCTCGCGTACTGTTGTCCCAGCACTGAAGAGGAGCTCCACTAAGAATAGCCTCTGCAATACTAACACGCTTCCGTTCACCTCCACTAACACCACGCACAAAGTCGTTACCAACTTTGGTATTGAACGTATGCCGAAGCCCAAGCATGGCCATAACGACATCACGAAGATGCTCGGCGTATTGCTTTCTCGTCAAATTGGAGAAACGCGTGCGGGGTGTACGTGCCATGGCGGCGAATGTCAAAGTATCACCGACCGTAAGTTGAGGGAAATGCACATCAGTTTCAGCGCTGAAAATTGCCTCTCCCTTGAACTGTTTTTGCATGATTGGGGCCGAGATTCCTGTTATCGTGTGTTGGTTGATTGAGTCACATCTGATATCTTGGGCGCTGTTGCATACCTTGATAATTCAAATAGCTGTGGTCGTCGACATGGATACCGTTCATCTCACCGGAGATTGTCTTGAGGAATGTTGAGCAGCCACTGATGAACACTTAGAGCCGTTCTACTCAACCGAGATCTTTCACAAATTGGGTGGGCAAACTCACCTTCCAGGACGACCCAAAACCACCAACATTTCTCCACTCTTGACAAGTCCATTAAAGTTGTCGAGAATCTGAATCTTCTGTTTTCCACTTCCAACAAGGTTACGAACGAGACCGCCGATACTCAGGAGAGAATTCAAAAGGTCCTTTTGATAGTCGGTGGGACTTCCAAAACCATGGACGGAGAGATTCTTGAACGCAACACCGGCAGAGCGTTGGAGGAATCGTTCCGGGTCTTGCGACTGAGCGGCGATTAAAGACCGAATCCAATCCTTTGTCCTGAAATTAGGACTATCGGGATGCCAGGTGGTTTCCTTGTTCTCCTCAAAGAAAGGGTTGACTGCATTGGCCGAGGAGAAATGAGTGGATTGGCGGGTTAGTTGCCTCACCATCTCCTCCACCTCGTCCTCCATATCAACCTCAGGTTCCTTTTCTTCTTTGGTATCATTGTGGAGCGTAGTAGATGAAGCATAATGTTGTCTTGATTCACCGGTTGTCAGACTCTGCTGCTGCTGCGTATCCATGGAGGGGATTGCCCCCAAGACCGACATTATGAATAAAGATTCAATGCACCAGAATTGCTTCCAGAAGAATAGACAAGATCTATGTGGGCCTTTAATCCTTATAAGAGATCGACGGAAGTTATTTGATTACCAACCTAGGCTACCTAGCTGATGAATCAATCCAGAGCCGGAGCTTCCGTGTCCGTCATTTCACATCAATACTCCAGGGCCGGGGCTATCACGAACAGAGAAGCCAATGTCTCGGCTAATGATATTATGGAGATTTCCCCATCACTAGTTCCGCAGATATATTTACTAGGGACCACAAAGATACCCCTCGAAAACCGGTGTTTCAGCACTGGTAAATCCACCAAAAACAACCATCAACGAGTCATAGGTCCATACCAAAGCTTTATTGTGCAGTGGCTGTTTCCGGCCATATGGTTCGGCGGCAGTTCGTTCATGGTCCGTAGGTTTGATATATCTTCGAAATTTACGCGCCCATTACGCTCGGATGCAACACTTCCCGGTAAGATATCCCTCGGGAAGAGCTGTGATTGGTCAAAAAACGTCCATATGTAATTTATTCTACTCCAGTGCATATGAATATCCATCCTTTCGTCAACGCGACTTATCACACAAAGATGATGCGCTGCATGTTTGAATAGAGACCAGATTATATCACTATAAACTCATTCACGGCCGCTTTTTTTCACCAAGCACAATGCTTTTTGACCTGTATCCAGTCCTATTCTATTGAGAAAGGACTATAAATCCATACCCTGCTTCCTTTTCCTGCTTACTGAAGTAACTCTAACACAAGCATCTCATTAACGGTATGTCCCATTACAGCATATTTTTATATAATAGGATATTTAAAATTTTAACAAAGCCATAATAAAACATTATCCGAAAGGGGGAAATTTTATCTTGAAAAAAGGGGGCATACCAGATCCATACCATAATAGTTAGCTTAACGGTCCAGTTTCTTTAGTCTTAGCCGCAAAAAATCCGATCCATGGGCACGGGTGCGATCCGCCACGATCTCGTCATTTCCCTTATATCTTTATGGTTTATCCCTAGTCCACTCTCGGATGCTTGCATGTTGGAATTCCTTACTTTTGAAATTCTATCAGTCCGATATTCAGCGGGGTTTAACAAATAAGCCTAGTTCTTACTTTGGCAAAGAATACAAACTACTTGTTGTTATACAAAGTAAATTTGTATAGACTGCTCTTATAATTATGCCACGTCATACCACGAAGCCAGCAGCAGTGTCGAGAGACTCGCCGTATTCCACGCACGGTGCTCGTTCGAGAGTACAAAAGGCTTGTGATCGCTGTAGAAGAAAGAAGACAAAGGTACGTAACTGTAACGGTGTGATATCTGTTTCTCCTTTGGTCTAACCAATTTCAGTGTGATGGAAGCAGTCCTTGTCAGAAATGTCGAGCCGAAAATACCAATTGCATGTTTGGTGATCGGAAGAAACATCGAGAAAAGGTATATCCTAAGGGGTAAGTAACCTATCTTGTCAATATTCAATAAAGCAAAACCTAATTGACTTTACAGATACACAACCCTTTTAGAAGAGCAGCAAGGTTGGCTTATCCATGGCCTCAGAGAGCTATATCGATATGTGCGGGCTGGAGATGGCTGGTCTGGAGAACCACTGAGCTGTGGACCCAACGGTCTGCCTCTGGTCCATGATATTCTCTCTCGCCTAGGGTCCTTGAACCAACCTCAATCTGAAAGCACAACTTCCCAAGAGAGTGGACAAACCTCCATGCACCAACAAAGTCTACAAGATCAGAACAACCGACAAATGCAGCGACCACATCCCTCAATTGGTAGTTCTCACAACTGCTCCTCAGCCCCGGCTCTGCCACTTATTCCAAGCAATATCCTATCACCAACGAGTGATCAAACACAGAACACTGAAGCTGAGAACATCCCATCATTGATATCGATACAGGATGATTTCCCCGATGTCGGTAGTCTCAATGTTTCATCTCAGTTGCATCCCGGTATCAATTTGGATGGGCATATGCCAGACCCTGGGACTCACGCCGGATTGTTGTATAATGATATTAACACGAGCAGCCCCATGCTCCAATATCCCACCGAAAGTGACACCGTGGACTTCAATTTCGATGTGTTCACTGGCTCAGGGAATGGCATTAATGACTGGGAGATATTTTTTAATCCGTCTACGAAGGGCCAGTTGTCGACTGAGGGTTATTTGACGCCATTTTATGACTCCCAGCCCTTGCCCTTTGAGTATGCGGCTTAATGAACGACCCCTGTGCTGAGTGCAGTCTTACGCCCCTTCTCCATTCTTAATTTACTATGTATTTATATCCTGCTACGTCTTTTATACAATATATTGTTTTGAACCAGCTACATGGTATACTAGATAGCTCTCGCCGGATTGGAACCGCCCATATCGTCATTCCTTTACTCTAGTTATTACTTAGCTACTGCATGACTACCCGTGGACAGAAGTTGATAACTAAGCAAGAACGAGCTTGGAATTCGCCCATATTGGCATGGATTCCGATAAACACTATATTGCAGCCGCCACGTTCAGAGGAGTTCGTGATCATTGCAAAGGGCATCGCACAAGGTTTTAAGCACGATCCCCGGAAACCCGAAAAAAGTTAGCAGGGAGGAACTACTCGTAGTACTATTACAAAAGGACCTCGGGAACTAATCGGACCGGGGGTTTCCGACCCTTTAAATCCACTCGACCCCGTCAAATTAGCTCGTCAAATTAGCTCGGGACCCACCAGACAGACTTGTGGATTCTGACATGATTCAAGTGCACTAGTGGACTTGCAAGCCCCGGAACTATAACAGACTAGGTTTTCCTTTCCGTTCGGAAACACCCTTCTAGAGCACCGGATCCCGGGAACTTTCTCAGCCGGTATCCGCACCGGTAGGAATTTTAAATTCCGCTGCCCAGGTGAATGTGATATGGAGTATCAAAGAAAAAAATAGGACCTGGATATTATTCATATATCCGTTCCACCGAGTCTAGAGGGATGGCTAAAATAGTACTTGATAGATCTATCGCTGATATAGGGTACAGTATTCTTTTTTGGTATATAATCATTGAATCAACAAAATTTGGGAGTTCAAAATCTTATCAAGAGCTTGTGTCACCGTCCTAGAATTGTCAACGGGACTGCCACTTTGAACGTACTCGATTGAAGATCTAGCGGATGACATAAGTTGGCTAGAAGGCTGACTAAAATTACCGGTAGGTATCTCCATGTACGTCATGCGGAAATGGTCGATAATTCGCCAGTCGATTCTAGTAGGATAAATCTGATTGGCTTGTTACGTAAGTCCCGATACGTGTGTTCAGCTCGATTTTGAGATAGCTTTCTAAGTAGATCAACCCATCAGATTGGTCTAGCAAACTTGTCTACTCTCTAACTAACTAGGTGATACTTCCAGTTCTAACTGGTTATGTGCAGGTGCCAAGATGCCGAGCGTTTCAAGGAAAGCAACATGATCCAATGATAATCTGCCGTTGGTTCAGCTGAAGGGCCAGTATCGTGCTCGCGCGACTTGGGTGATTCTCACCCTCATTCTCACCCTGTCGGCTCCCACCCGACTATCTGCAGCACATAAGCTAACTACATATTCTGAGCAGTCAATAGTTATTACGCCCTTAGCACCTAAGCGGTACTCTAGGGTGAGTACAGGTGATATAGGTGAGAAGTCTCGATACTAGGGTGACAGAGGTGAGAACGGGTGACAATTCTCACCCTTAGGGTGATAGGGGCTAACTTATTGTGAAAACACTTACCCCCTTAAAAAGATATAAATTAACCCCTAGGGCCCTTCGCTCGCTCTGTTATGATTTTATTTGATATTGAAAATATGTTCTCCGAACAGAATATCTAGAAAGCACTCCATAAGCGTATCGCATATGCTGTATTATATGGTTTTATACGTAAATATTAAAATAATAAAGAAGATAAAGATAATACTATCTGCTATTATAAGCTAACGCCTGCGACGCTAGAGAAATATAACTATGTAGTTGTTAATTAGGCCCTATAAGCTTGACTTATATTTCCTCGACCTTGGTTCCTAATTATTAGTAGGTAACTAGAGGCTTTCTCGAAATAAGCTAAGGCCTAATAGATTCTAATTTCCCCAACTTACCTATCCTAACTCCTTAATTTTTGAAACTTTTCGTAGAATTTTATATTATATCCTGTAAAAATATTCCTACTTAAAAGTCGGCGTTAATATGTTTACTAGCTTTATATTATAGTAGGAGCGAGATACTTTTTAGCTTCTTTCCGATAATATAAAGTAGGATATTCTTAATATACCCCAGTCAATCCTTGGGTTACGACGGCAAATGTTATGGTTTGAAAACGCTCCCAAGAGGTTCCCCAGAGAGCCTAATATGTCTTGAAAATTTTCTCCGCATTTCTCTTCGTGAACTCACCTGGGCGACACCTACTGAGTTATTGAACGCACATAAGCCAAAGCCACACGCCGATGACTTACCTAGCTAGTAGACCGGTGGATGGCCACTAGCGAATTCTCACTTCGGTATTATTGTTTTTTTTTTTTTTTTTTTTTTTTTTTTACCTGTGATGAATTAATTCTTTCCGGTAGTAAAATTGTTGCTAGCGTATCTGGAAGAAAGGAATTGTTAAGTTAGCTAGCAGTCGATGAATTGAATGATTTGAACCATGCATAAAAGTTGCATTCTTTCCCAAGGTATTGACAGAGACCGGAGTATACCATCATCCATTGCATCTATAGCTACCTACTCACTGGTCTTTCCAACGTTGCAGGGTTCTGGGACGATCCTAGGTTAAATATATAGCCTGCTCTAACTTGAAACATATTCCACCGACTATTGCACCATGATCTTCCAAATTTTTGAGTTCCAGATCATTACAGCAAAGATTTTAAAACGATAACAATTCCATTAAGCTAGTTAGATCAAGATCGAGACCGCATTCCACTCCGGGCTCAGCACCTCATACGGGATCGTGCCCCAATCATCCGTCGCTTGTCCATAACCCCTAAATTCCTCCTCGCTATCAGCCAGCGCCGTGTAAAACTTGCCTGTCGCTTTTGCGATAGCAATATCCGCTTGAGACGTCTTGCTGCGATATACACGAAACTTTGAAGCAGCATAGACAATAAGGCTTTCTTTATTACCCGGTTTGAAGCTGAGGAGATATGGTGTGTGTGATGCTAGAAGCCATTCTCGAGTGTGATTCATAGGCAGTGCGTCGACAAGATCTTTCTCTGTGTAGTGGAGCAGATCCTGTAGTGAGGAAGGGGGCTCGGTGTACAGACAGGGAGGCTTGTTCACAACAAATGACTGATAGTAATTTTGCAGATAGTTCACCGCAGTATGTTGGGGAGAGGCGATGTGAATACACATTGTCACGCAGTCAACCAGTTCGGCGAATGTGCTGATTGTCGGGAAAGAGGGCAGATCTGCACCGGTGGGACTTCGCATCTCGGCAGACCAAGCTTGAATGCGGTCATCGCGTAGGACCTTTTGGTCTGCGCCGGGTTGGGGGTAGTCTAGTCTGAGCATGTCTTCGACGTATGACCGGATCTTGTGCCACATGCTGTAGATACATCTGGCATAAGCGTAGTTGTGGAATTTTGGTTGGTTGAGTTTCTCAGGAGGGAATCCGCGTTGACTGAGATCTGTTGGCACGTAGCGTTTCTTGAAGTCGAACGTCTTATACGCGTGCTTGATAAATTTATAGGCTTCACTTGGTTGGAACCCAACTAACTCGACAATGATGTGGGGGATCAGAGTGTTTCGGGCTGCGGCGTTGACTGCCAGGGTCTTCTGCCAATGTGGATACAGCAGCTTCATCACTGGGTGATTAGGGTCAAGCTGTCTATTAGAAGCGACAATTGTGGCCTCTTCAATGAGATGTGTGTTTGTGAGGTGCACGGTGACTTCATGTCGAAGCCAGTCGCTGCATTGCACACAAGTTTTTGCTAATTGAATAGCAAAGTCAGCCCATTGCCTCAATAGCGTGATAGTCGGGACCTTCACCATATCTCCAAGGCCAGTCATGAGCTTCGTCAATCACTTTTTCTTTAGGGGTTTCCTTATTGGTTCCTGACCGAATATCCGTCCGCTTGAACAATTCCCGGTTGTAGATCGTCACGGATTGCTCGGGACTGCCCCGCCAGTCAATAACAATAGCCAGAGGGTAAATTTGACCCTTTTCATTGAGATAAAAAAGACAGACAGATGCACAGCCAAACCGAACACCTTTTCTGCCTTTATCCTTTTCATCTGGCTCATCATACGCACATTTGATGAGATCAGTTGGATCCACACCAGCAGCCTCGCGAAAGTAGCTATAGTCCTGCATATACAAAGACTCTCGGGAGTCGCTATTGAGATCGGTGATGACTATTTTAGCCCCTGTATCTTCTAGTGCCTTTGCAGTTTCAATAAAGTGCTTTATCCAGCGATCCGAAGCTAGTTCAATCGTCGTGGGATTTGTCCCCGTGAACTGCTGCTGACAGAATCGGTTATCGCTGTACCAATCTAGCAAGTCGCCCACGTTGGGGAGATCAAAAATATCCTCGCGATGTGAAAGTCCACGAGCTTTCCTGTTATACCACTCCACGTCTTCAAGTTTGGTGCCTGCGTCGGGCGTGCCCATAGAGCCAAACCAAGCCCATGCCGCTGTCTTGGCGGCTCCTCTTATGAATTTGTTAGGCACAACGGCGGGTAAGAGCGAGCTCAACTGAAGTAGACGCATTTTGCTAAACAAATCAGCTGGCTGGAGTGTTGATTTCTCCGTTTTGTTTTTCTCCGCTTCTGCAGCTGGCACATTTCCAGCAAGATTGAGATGGGGCGGGTAACCGTCCGACCCATCTGTGAAAGCGAAGAACTTCTCCTTCTCTTCTCTGCTTAAAGGCGATGGCACCAACGGTTCAAAGTTGGCAACATCCATGAAAGACATGAAGCTGAAAAATATGTTAGCAATGGTTAAATTCCAAGTCGGTCAGATATGATTACCGCTGCTCTATCAGGTCATAAGCCTTCGTAAGTGCCAGCTTGGTCCCCCGATATGTTCCTTCGGGAATTGGAGACGGTCCTTGTTCATGGGCTTTCCAGTGTAGGTTCTCAGGGTTTTGACCAAAAGTCGTTTTGTCCTCGTCAGTAAGGGATTTGAGCCTCTTCGGCAGAAGATCAGTGTTCGCCAGTTCATTGATGAATACACCGCTGTCAATGGCATTCACAGCAAGCTCCTCAGGGTCTCTGGGCCATTTTCCCTGAACATGAGGAAGGTCGAGAACGACACTCGGAGCCATTGGAGTCAGCGTGGTAGGGTTTTCGGCCATGATGTTAAAACGTTGTTGGATAAACGGAAAAAATTAAATCAATGTACACTAGCTACTTGGATTTAGCGTCTATCGAACTGCTTTTGACATATTCCATGTACAATATTCAGAGGATTAAGTATGCAGGGAAGCTTCATGATGTCATGACTTCATATCGACAATGGAAAGACAACGCGAGTATTCGGATGCCAATAGAATACCAACAAACACCATGGAATAATAAGACATTTTATCCAAGATTAGAGAGTCGAATATGGTATCCCCCGGATTCGGAAATGCAAGGTGGAAACGAGGAGTCTAGAACGCTCTTCCGAGCCGACAGTCACTGAGACAAAAACGATGGAACCATCCCACTACTTGTATGGAGAACACCGGAAAAGGAATTATTTTTGAGTCTGGATGGAAATGAAATTCGAAATCTGATCCAATCAATCAAATTGTATGCCTAGCTTACAGTTTATGTGCGTATTTATTTACCACTGCGAGGCAAAGAAATCAAGATCTTTCTTATCAGGCTCGACATTGCCCAGAAACTTCAATGAGCGGGATATGAGACGCATCCGATATTTCTCTTTTGGGAGGAAATAAAGCGAGACCTTTATCAGAAATTACAGCAGAGCCGCTAAGGCCACAGAGCCTGGCTGCGTCCCGCAAAATTTATCGCCCTTCGCAAATGTTACGAGCAGTCCATACACAACCCTGACTGCAATGAAGGGCTTGCTTGTCAATGCCACCTGTATAAGAATCTTGTTTTCTTTATCTTGGCGGCTTTGCAATGAACAGAAAAAGACAGATGCTGGCCTGGGCGACGAAAAGAACTGCGACGATAATTGTGGACGGTGCGTTCAGGTCATGTCTTGACATGCCCATGCAGTCAGTGCTGAGGAATAAGGCGGCCCATTGGGCTAGGCGAATCAATATCCAGGCTTTTGGGGATATTGGGTTCATATATTGGATTTCTTTGCTATCCCATCACGAACCTCTCTCAATAAATGACTCATTTGTTTCGCAGGACTCATGGGCTTCAGGGCTATCTCCGATGCTGACAAAAAGCCAAGGGTTGAGCCCACTCCGTGCTGGTTACCCGATTAGGCAACCTTGATGTCTTAGCGTGAAGCTCTCACCTTAGTGCAGGACACTGTTTCGAGATTATGGTCCTGTTGTCGATTTTCATTACGTATTTCGGTCTTGACCTCGCCGCTGAGTTCCAGGCCGTACTCCACCGGTCGAATTGAACCAAAACCCAATCTCGGTGAATGCAAAGATTTCGCCAATGCATGACAGCAGTTGATACCATGCCAGTGATACCCTGGTCTTTTCATCGATGGTATTGCCAATCTATCAGGCATACTCCGTGCTTCATGGTCTCGCCGATCAAAATGAAGGTCGGTGCTGAGGAAAACATCTCTCCAGTCGACACTTCACCACTTTGCAAGTCAAACAGTTCATATTGTTCTCGAAAATGTCCTTGTATTTTCCTCAACTCACCAAAAAAAACCACAAATCCAGCCGCTATGCCCATAACCATCACATGCAAGTATCTCATTCATCAGCCACCTCGAGCTCATCCATATCATTAAGCAGTTCATTCATGTCAATTTCCGGCACTTCATCTTCACTGTCGTCGTCTTCTTTCACAGCATCACCCTGTGCCTGAACCTTATAAAGGTCCAAAGTCTGTCGCAGCTCCTCATCCTCCTCAACATCACGCAGGAACATCTCATAGTCCTGTTCGAGACGGTGAGCATCCTGCTGTTCACGGCGGGACTGCTGGCCAGATCCAGCACCACCAGCGGCTGCGGCAGCAGCCTCAGCCTCGTACTCATTGGCCATGCGCTTGAGGCGCCAGGAGCGGGCCTTGGACTTTTTCTTGCGGGCGTAGGATTTTTTGATTAACACAACGTCTGGGATGGTCGAGCTATACTTGCTGCTCGCTTCAATGGCTTCGAAGTTATCGTCATTGAATCTGGTGCCGGTAAGATGGTAACCTAACACCGCGTCGCCGGCATGCAAAATTCCACCGAGATGTGTCCGAGTGAAGTACGTAGTGTCGTTGGATCCAAGGTCAGAGGAGCGGGCGACGGTCGCCTCGGCGAGTCTGTATTTGCCCTTTGATTTATCAATGGACTCGATATCCATGATAATGAATTCTTTCAGTTCGGTTACGTCTGCCAGGTTTCTAAACGGAGCCCGCCAGTACGTGCCTGTCGGCACATCGGCGGTTTGAAGGGTGTTAGGATCCATAAGATTCACGGAATTTCCAACACGGTGACAGATAGTGAGGGGTGAGATGTTGCCTAGCTGGCGGGCTAGCTTGATAGGCAATGCGACGAGATCGTCTTTGCAGATAGGGATAATCTCGACGGAGAATGTAAATTTATAGGAGCTAACGCTTGTGTGGATGTCCTTAGAAATCAACTCTGCGGATTTCTTCGTCTTGCAAGGCACGACGGAAGTAAGGAAATCAACCATCTTTTCGGCGTGATTCCGCGCTGCAAAGTAGAAATCAAGACCATCCTTGGCCTCTTTAATGTTGACCGTATCCTTGTGAGCCCCACTCTTCAGGATAACTTGTTCGAGGTATAGAAATGTACGTTTATGCGGCACCTTCTGTCGGACTTGAACGGCTGCTCGCCATGTGTTGTGAGTAAATGACTTTTTGCAGTCTGCGCACTGTTGTGATGCAACCACATATTCGACCTCGAAGGTTTGTTGAATAGTTGTGCCTTGCGACGCTTCTTGTTGAATGGTAATCTTGAGTTTAATGCGGCGAGAGTGCGGTTCTGTCCAGATGAAGTTGGCGTCGATGATGCGGACTTTCGATAAGCCACGGAGACGGCGGAGACAAACAGATAGGAGTTCCTTCGATTCCGGAGCTGCAACTACCCAGCTGTTGGGTGGTTGAAGCCATCGCTCGCAGTCTCTGCAGCAGTGGAGAGTTCCGTCACGTTGGATACTGGAAATTGAGATCAGTGGTTGTTTCGTGCGTGAGAATTGCTGACCTACCCGGCAGAGGCATCCACATCCAGTCTCAAGCAATCAGAGCACAGTGCTTCAGCAGCAGTGGTTCCGTCAATGGCGGCACCGCAGTTGCAGCACAGAATACTGTGATACATACATTAGCACTGTGGCCGATAACAAATCGATCGCGATAAGAGACTCACGTCGCGGCGCCTGAATTTTGGTAATCCAGCGTCGAGATAGGGATTCCAGCATCCGTATCTCTCTCCATTTTGAAGTTGGGGTATGAAATGAGCTTCAGAAGCAAGACAGTCCCAGTTTTGAAATGCGCACGAGGATTTGTAATATGTTTTGCCCCGCGGACCCACTCCGTCACTTTTCACGGAGCTCCCTGTTTGCACTGTTTGGATGTAATAACTGATGCCTTGCACCTCAGGCGGGAAATGCCAAGCCCTTTCACATCTGGAGAACTGAAACTTTGCTCTGTTGCGGACTAGCCTCTTACCTGCTCCCCCGTTTGATGAGCGCTCGGTCCTCGCCACACTACTCAGAGTTGAGAGTGGAGTACTGTAGTTAACTTTCCCCTTCCGAGTCATGCAAGCCTCTCCCAAAGCCCTAATCACTCATTCCGTTTAATCGCCAGTCTACCTCGGCTCATTTCCTCGCTACTGCAGCACATCCATCCCCTGCAACTAGAAAAATTACTTCACTCGGGATAATGACCTCAACGTCCCAATTTGGTATTGCTTGCAAGACATGTCGTTGAAGAGGGCGAAAGTGTGATCGAAGCCTGCCCTAGTGCATGAGACTGCCATCGGCGTGGTGTAGAATGCGAGGGTTAAGCTCTACTTTGGGTCGGACTGGCAGTCAGGGGAAGCATGGCCGGTCGGACATACCAGCCCGCTACTTATGACACGGCCCCGCGGAAGGAGCAAGCTTCAGTCAGCTTAGTGTCGAAAAATGACGACGCCCACGTCGGATATGTGCTGCCACAGCGGCTGAACGCCACCGGGGTACCGGAACAAGACTCTTACGCCCACCAGTACAGCAGTTTAGCAAATTCCACTTCACGCGGCTTACTTACCCCCGGTAGTGTGCAGGTGTTCGTTCAATATTGTAAGGAGAACTCTCCATCGCAAAATATGGGCTATCACATAGTTTGTAGACGCGCGCGAATTAAGTACAGCTTTCTACCTGGGCAATGGTCCTGCGCGAACTCCCTATACGCAGTATACGCAGTATATACTACCAATGACCAAGAGCGTTCCCTGCATTCGGTACGCCGTAGGGGCGACGGCGTCTTGCCATATTGGCAACAGACTTCAAGACAAAAAGTTGAAAATACAAAGTCTCCATTTGCGGTTGGATGCCACGCAGGCGCTCAGACAGCAACTAAGAAATGACATCGAGGAAACAGACATTTCTAGTATTGCCTGTATGGTGTTACTTGCCCAGCTCGATGTAGGTGCTCAGATATTTCTTCAGGGCTACTCTGACAGATGTGACAGCTCTGCTCTGGGGACTGCCTGGAATTTGGAACACACTTAAAAGCAGCGAGTGAGATCGTGAAGCGGCATGGTTCGGATGGAACCGAGCAAGGCTTTTTCCAACAACGTCTTGCATGGTAACGTCTTTTCTCCGCAGCAGAATTCTCTACAATGCTTACATCTCGTTAGGCTGGATATCATGGGCTCGACGACATCGTCACGAATGATACAAATGAATCCTGAACATATAAAAGCTTTCTTGAACAAATTCAAAACCCCATCCGGTCGCAGATGGGGATTCGACGTTTTCGACTGCCCCATCGATCTATTTGAGTGTATTGCAGACATTGCTGTATTGCATAAGCTATACATGTCTTCAAGAATCTCATCCGATGTGGCCTTGAGAGAGGCCATCGTCCTTGGCAATGCTGCTAGGACGTGGACAGGATCTGATATCCTGTCCAATCAACGAGGAGACATGGTCGAGCCGCTCCTACTCCGATTGCCAATAATTGCTCGATATCTATTATCTCAAAGAAGATTCAAGTACATACGACCACAGGGTGTGGAAAACAGGGCTTCCCGTCCGCTCAGCCGTACTTAAGCCACACGCCGGTGAGTTAGTAGTTGGGTGGGTGACCACCAGCGAATCCTCACTGTTGTATGTTTTGTTTTATTGTTCGCTTTTTGTCTTATCAGCTGAGCATGGTAGGATTGAAAATCAACAGGCTGCCTGAAATGTCAGTACGGCCTTCCAAATTGGGTGCACCTCCTTGACAGGTAGTTCTGCTTAGCGCAATGATGATATATTATCTGCCGGGTTACCGGAAGCTATCTAGGCAACGCTGACTCAACATAAGGCTGAGTCAGCCGCCAACGGGCTACATCTGCCGACACCCGAAGGTGCCGGTCGCCCTCGACCGATACTAGGTACATATAAAAAATATTGCAGCAAATAATAGCCATCGCCATGTAAATGACCAATGCATCATCCGCAGCCTTCGACGAAGGCTGGAAAGGCTTGTCAAATGGCGTAAAAGACACAAGAAAAGCAAGGGGCAAGTGTAGACGAATCAGAGAACGACGATGCCAGGGCAACTTGACCAGGCCACGTCGTCGCGGCTGTGTCATGCGAGCGGGTTGTGCTAGATAATAAGTCGTGGTTAATAGAACTAGGAAGAGGAATGGGGGCGCTTCTCTGGGACAGGAACGCATGCCCATCCGTTCGAAATCAAAGGGTCCATAGGGTCCGCGAAACAAAAGAATTTAGAGCTCGTGGAGTACTTCATGGCCAAATCGGCCCAATACATAATCCCACATACTTCTCCATCCTCCAGGCAAATCGATTCCTCCCCTACACGCTGTAGCCGTACAAGAACTAAGCCACAGATACCTAAACGTAGTTGTGGAGCAGTCGTAATCATAGTGTCGTTAGTGGCATAAATGCCTTAGTGCATAATAACATATTTCCCGTCGGGCGGGTTCTCTCGTCTATCACGGAGGAAATCCTATCCTCTCTTACATCCCAGCACCCGTACTCCGGTATATAAAAGGCGCTGCCGGCCGGTAACGAAGCTATCAATAAAGAATTTGTCTCCTATCTTAACCCCGGTAAATAGGATAAGGACTTTAGCTGCTATTTCGATATCTAGGAATCTATTGCTAAACGCAATAGTATCGTCTAGCTTAGTAAGTCCGATGTCGGTTTCGTCGATACGTTCCGTCACATAACCGACCCTCGAGTTTGCTTATAGCACTCGGAAATAATTCGGATCTCCCAGGTGATCCAACCTTTCGTCGAACTCCCGATCCCAGCAGTGATACGCAACGGTAAGCCTCTACTCAGAACCCTTCTCCACCAAGACCCCAGCCGAGACGGTATCCTCTTGATCAGAACAAATCATCGCTCTAGGATTGAAGGACCCCGTAGCAGCAATATAGTCGGAGTCGTCTGAAACAAAGGTTTTCAGATCTGCTGGCTTAGGGGCTATAAGCCGTTTCCACTCGGTATTAGCGAGCAATCCATTCGAGTAGGTCAGTTCTAACGCGAGATTCGCGAAGGAACACGGTAGGGACCCGACTCTCTCTCTCCACGCATCCTCATCGATCTCGTCGAATTCAACCACAATGGCATTGAAGATGAAGGAGATGGCTGCGGCTTCCGGGAAATGTTGTATAAGAACCATAAGGAGCGTTTCTGGGTTTGGCATCCTATACGGTTTCAAGTCCTGAACCAGATTTTGGTCCACGTGAACGAACTTGTCTATTTCCGTCTCCCCTCCAGAAGAACCAGGAGTGAGAGTGGGCAGCGGGTCATCCATTCCCAGCCAGAAGGCTAAGCAGCCCGATATGGTAAAAGGGCGTTGGGCGGGATCCGGCCGGTCAGAGCAACGAAGGAATATGAATGGCTGCATAACCCACATGTCTTCCACCCCGAAATGCTCTCGTAAGTATTCAAAAAGCAAGTCATGACATCTGTCCCCTAATGATGGTGTCGATCCATCATCCTCAAGCAGTGAAAACTCGTTAAAGTCGAGTGCGGATGAGTCACTGCAATACGCTGAGTTGATTGCAGATTCCTCAGTTTTCGCGGTTGGGGACTCGGACCTGGCGCGAGGTGGGAGGGATGAATGCCTAGACTTAACTGGGCTGAATGACGGTCGCTTTCGCCGGTTCTGTTTTAATGTCAAAGTTGATGTGCTCGCCATGGTAATATTTCATCGGTATCAGATTAATCGCGGTGATAGAAAGATGGCATAAGAAACTAGACGTTATTGGCGTGGAGAGTGGGGAGGAGACCTCGGGAGCCCCGCCCGGATTATATAATCAGCATCTGGTTGTGATGACTAATAATTCAGTTGGGTTCCCGACCATCAAAATCAAAATTCTGTGGTTCGTCCTATAATCCTTGATATACATCCAAGGGTAGGTATTGATGATCTAGCCTGATTCTACTTTGACTTCCAGTTCCATCATAGGTTAGGTTCCACCCGTGGACCCTACCTATCCATGTCAGGATTCTAGATTGACAGTAGACTGCGGCATATCCGCTCTAGACTACGACATCGCCCATGGACGGGCGGGTGGGCATTGCCCACGGGCCTTACGTAAGTAGGAAATAGGCCCTATAGAGAGGCCCATAGACGGGCCCTACCCTTAGGGCCTATTGTCTATGGATACTGTGGGCGCCTATAGGCCTTTTTAGTAAGCAGAATTTCTTAACCTCGTGACCTACATTATTTATATATTTTTTCTCTATATTTTTGAGTAATTCGATTATATATATAATAACTTAATACTACTGTTAATTTTCTGATCTCGGTTAGAAAAATAAACTATAGAAGTCTTTATACAATGACTTAATACTATAGTCAATTTTCTAACCGAGGTTAGAAATAAGCTTTAGAAGTCTTTATATAATAACTTAATATATTATTACTTTTTTAACTAGGGTTAGAAATAAGCCTTAGAAGCCTTTATATAATAATTTAGGTATTTATTATAGTTATATATTTATACTAATATAATATAAATTAATTATTATTAGGTTTATTACGCTTCCTTACTTCTCTTAAACTAGGATATCTTTAAGTATTATCTTTATCTCTATAATAAGAGAGATAAAGACTACTCTTATCTTTACTATTAACTAGCTTACTTCTCTATTACTTCTATATACTTAGTACTATAAAAGAATAAAGAAGCTAACTTTCTATTATAAACTTATACTTAATTAGTCTAATAGGATTATTATTCTTAGAATCCTTACTATTACTAATTAGTTTAGATATATTAATAATAAGCTTAGTCTCTCTTTATTTATCTATTTCTTATATTAAATCTAAGGATATATTCTTATTAGGTAGTTCTTCTATTTTAATATTAAACTAGGTTTTATACTAGAATATTATAATATCCTAAACTATCTTTATACTTAGCTACCTATATTAGTAGTAATAGATATCTTATACTAAATTAAAAAGATATTTAATTCTAATATCTATTATAGGAATAGAGAGAATATTATAAGTAATACTTAAAAGAATTAAGAATTTATTCTTATATTCCTTCTAGAATTATAAAGAATTAATCTTTCTTTTTATTATTATAGATATTAGTATTTCTATCTATAATAATAGTAAATATAATATATACTTTTTAAGATATCTAGTAATTTTAAACTCTAATATTAATAGATTAAAGTAAATATAAGATAGAAGATTAAAGAGGATATCTAGATTACTTATACTAGCTAAGTAATACTTAGAAGATTACTCTTCTTATAAGGACTATATCTAAGTATATCTTTAGATATAAGAAGCTATAAACTAGTAAAGTATTTTCTTATACTAATTACTCTAGTTTATATTATTCTCTAATATACTCTATATCATACTTAAAAAGAAATAAAGCTTATACTAGAATATAAGAATTATTCTAATTATATAGAGACTATTATAGATCTCTTTTGTCTTTATATAGTAAGAGATAAGCTTTATTATTCTAGTATTAAGGGTTTATAGTATTACTTTTTTCTAAGATATAGTTTTCAGAATAAATTATATAATTAATTCCTTAAAGTACTTAAAGGACTCTTACTATTCTAAGCCCTACTAGACTATAGTCTAAACTTCTAAATATATACTAAGGATAGTACTAAAGAGAGAGAGATCCTAGTAATACTTATATATCTCGAAAAACTAAGATAACTAAGAGAAAAACTCGAGAAATATTAGCAAATCGCTATTAAGATATAAGCGAGATACTATAATAAATATTATGATCTAATAATATTTCGCCTAGGTGATCTAGTAGCTTTATCTATAAAATATCTTAAGTTAAAGATAATCTCTAAAAAGCTATCTCCGAGATTTATTAGTCTATTTAGAGTACTTAACTCTGTTAGGAAATAGATATATTACCTACTTCTTCCTAACAATTATATATTAATCTATAATATATTCCCTGACTTATTATTATAATCTTAGTATAAGAGAGATAATAACGATTTAGACCCTTTACTAATACCTAAATTGGATAATAAGAGTAAATAGGAAATTAAGGAAATTAAAGATAATATAGAGTTTAATAGAGAACAATACTATCTTGTTAAATAGATAGGATAGCCTTCTGAATATAATTAATAGGTAGCTATAGAGGTAATAGAATATACCTAAGAAGATATTAAATTATATATAAAACAGAAGCAGAAGTAAGAGCGAAAGAAGACTAAAGTAAAAGTAAGTTAAATCTAAGACTAAAATTATTTAGGGTTAAATATATAGACTAACTATAAAAATCTCTAACTATTAATTCTTCTTCTTACTTCTCTCTTCTTAAGTATCCTAGGATCTCTAGGCTAGAAATAGCCGGAGATCTCGAATAGCTCTCTCGATAAATGTGAAGACCCACTATGAAGGGTCTTATGAAGGGTATGATCAGAGTGCTAAGGGCATATACAATACGAATTACTACTGCGAAGCAATTGCAACTAGCACTGCGTATGTATTCAAACTGAACTATGAACCTTTTATCTATAGTTCCAAATCCACTAGTTATGCAATATACGTAGCCTAAGCGAGATCATGTGTATTAGACCCATATATCTCGTAGGCCATTAATATGTCTACGTAGGTCCCGAAGACCTCCGAAGGTCCACCTTAAAGGTGCCATCTCGGGTCTAGGCGGGTTCTGCACCTTACTTTATATAGTGTAGGACGTGATATTACCTCCTTCCTTTATGCTCGTCGACCTCGGCGTGCTTCTAGGTTCCCTCTATAAACCTATCTCCTTTATCTAGCGCGGTTCTTCTTTGTTAAATAGGGTATTCCGAGGCTTCCTAGCCGGGTTTCTATAGCGGTAGCGAGGTTTTTTATCCTTTGTTTAGCGTACTAAGTATAAGGTTTTTCGTCGACTACGAAGTTCTTTATAACCGTAGGTTTATTTAAACGCTATTTTTGCCCCCTTTTTCGAAGGAGTATACCCTTATACTCGTCTTTTACGATATAGCTTTAAATAATAGGACTATAAACTAGGTTTTTAACCCCGTACCTATAACTCCCGCGGAGGTATAGTATATACGCTGCGTTAATTCGATTACGAAGGTTCCTACGGGTTATATTAATTCCCCGGCCGGTAATAAATATAATTATTACTAGGTTAATCGGTAGGCCTATATTATAGTAAATACGTTTTTTCCCCTTACGTATCTTCTCCTAACGTTATCTAGATCGACCCCTATCTCGATACTATAGTAAACGCCGTTATTCTAGTACCGAATATCCTAGCTCGGAACGCTACTCGTAGAACTTTTATTAGTGCTTATAATGCTTTCTATTCTTAGATTAATTAGGGAACTATTCTAGTATTCGTTATACGAGCTATTCTAGTACCGGTAGTACTAGTTATACTACCGATTATATTATTAGTCGTATTACTAGTCGTAATACTAGTCGTACTACTAGTTATACTTCTATTACCGCCTATAGTAGTATCTATAGTATCTCTTATCGTACCGCTTATTATACCGCCGCCTTTTCTAGCTCCTCCGTCCTTACTACTAATAATATTCGAAGTATAGGGAGAATAGTTTAATAGAGTATTAGATAGGTTCGTATAGCGTTTCGTAGGTATTTAGATAGGACCTATAAGGCTTTTACGTACGTTCCTACGTTTCCTAATATCTAGGCCGTTTTTCTCGGGCCTTCTATAAAGCGTTTACTTATAGATTTTTATAGAGACTATTATTATTCTTATAGTATAAGAAGCCTTTTATAAAGACTTTTACTCTTATATCCCTTCGTTCTTTATAGAGGCGATATATTCTTTATTAGTCTATCTAAGGATTCGTACTCCTTACTAATCTTTAAGGCAATACTTATTTTACCGACTATAAAGCTATAAATTGTCTCCTCTAATAATATTAGCCTAGTAGATTTATTATAGGCTAATTATAGCGAGAGCCTCGCTATAGAGGTTACTACTTCTGTGACGATCTGCAGAGTTTTCTGCTGACTGACTCCGCCTATGGACGAGTCAGTTGGTTCTGCCGTGTGTTTCCGCCTTGCAGAGATTTCTGCTGATTGTTTCCGCCTTCGACCCAGGACCCACCCCACAATGTCTTTTGGTCCTGTTGATAGATTCTTTTCTTCTCTTTTCTTTTTTCCTCCCTGTACTTAATGTTCTAGTTAAATGCACTCTTTTTGTTAAAGAACTGGCTGGTAACATAACATTAAGTACCATTTCAATTTTCAATAAGCAGAAGACCGTATAGATCCCTATTGTGGTGGATCTCGGTCGAAGCTTACCCACTCTCCGTTCCTTGGCATCGTATAGCTAAGACCGATTCTCCGAACCGAACCGAATCCTATCTGACTAGTCACAATGGTCGAGACCCGCCGGAACCCGACGAACCGTGGCAAGTAGCCGCTCGCTACTATGCCGGAAGAAGAAGAGATCGACCGGGTGGTCGATACATCCGAACCCCGAACCCCACATACCGAAATGCCGAGACTAGTTGATACTAGTGAGACGAATAATAATAATAACGCTAGAGAGGGATCGTCCTCTATACGCGAACAACTTCGGAAGACTCCTTTAAAGGAGAGATTCTAGGAACTTACTCGCTAGTACCGACGACTAGAGTAAGAGAATCAGGATTTGAGAGAGGAGGTCGTAATACTCCTTAGTAAGATTGACGATCTGATAA